TACCCCCCCTTTGTGGTCTGGCCTCCTGGACAGAGCATCAGCAGTGTCATTAACCCTCCCCGGTTTTGTGATGCAGTGTGAAATCATACTCTGCAAGGAACAAAGACCATCTCGCTTGTCTGCGAGGTTAACTTCTGACTTGTCATGAAGTACTCAAGATTTTTATGATCCGTCCATATCTCCACCGGTTCTGGTGCTCCTTGCCACATAATGCCTCCATTCTTCCAAGCGCGGATGATAGCTAATAGTTCTTTGTCATGAATATCATAGTTTCGCTCTGCGTCTTGCATAGATTTACTAAAGAAAGCAACAGGATGCCATAGTCCATCGTCTTCCTTTTGAGACAATATGCCACCCGTAGCATAGTCAGATGCATCTGTTTCGATTTTTTTCTTTTTTGTGGCATCTGGCATTGCTAATATTGGTGCGGATGTGAAATTGTCTTTAAGGGTTTGGAAAGCCTTTTCTTGTTTGTCCGTCCATTCCATGGTACATCTTCCTAATGAGATCATTCATAGGTTTGGCAATGTTCGAGAATCCGAGAATGAAACGACGATAAAAGTTTGCGAATCCCATGAATCGTTGGATATCCTTGACACAGGTAGGAGTGGGCCATTCTTGTACTCCTTTAACCTTGACTGGATCCATGGAAACATGTCCATCTTTAATGATTAGTCCGAGAAATTCTACTTCTTTCTTTTCGAACGAACACTTCTCGGGTTTGAGATAAAGATCATTGTCCTGCAATCTCTTCAATACTTCGCGTACCACCTTCCTGTGTTCTTCTATAGTACCATTCATGAAAACCAAGATGTCATCGATATAGACTACAACGACTTTCCCTTCCTTGAGATCTTGGAAGATTTGGTCCATCATAGTTTGGAACGTAGCAGGGGAGTTCGTCATTCCGAAGTACATCACTACTGGTTCATGATGTCCGAAGGGAGTTTTGAAGGCTGCCTTCCATTCATCTCCTTTTCGCATTCTAATATTATTGTATCCCCATCAAACGTCCATTTTCGAAAAAAGGCTTGCACCGGTTTAGAGAATCGATGAGATCTTGCGATCGGGGAAGAGGATATGCATTTCGAACGGTTTTCTCATTCAACCTCCGATAGTCCATGACGGGTCTAAGTTTTCCGTCTTTTTTGGCGACAAAGAAGAAAGGAGCTGCTACTGGAGATTCTGAATCTCGCAATCGTCCTAATTCATATTCTTGTTTGAGCCACTTTTCACATGCATCATGTTCTGCGGGCGAAAGAGGATATGCTTTCGAATTCGGAGGAAGGTCATTGGGATCCTTGAAGTCTACTTTATGATCCCACTTCTTGGATTCAGGGAATCTAGTAGATTCTTCTTCGGAAAAGACTTTAAGATAGTTGTGAAGCCATTCTGGAACCATCTCTTCTACGGACTTCTTTTCCTTCTTTTTTTCCCTCCTTTTGAGCTAACTCTGAAGCCACTGAGCTTTTGTACTTGATCCATATGTTTCGTGGTGAATCTTCATCTTCGATCTCCTCTATGTCTACTATTTTGGGAGCATTCGAATTTGAAGGTTGCACCTTAGCTATGGTGACTTCATCGTCGTCTTCTTCTATGGGTAACAAGCAGGTAACGTATCCTTCTGTTTTTTTGTTTTTGTCTTTTTCTTTTTGACCCTGATATCCTCGCATTTGACTGGGCAGCGGTTCAACGTCATTTTTCCTGCATTCCAGTCAATGTTTGGATTATGATATCGTAGCCAATCTATTCCAATGATAACATCATTGGTTCCTAGATCTGTGATCAGAAAGGCTACTTCTTCTTCATGATCCCCTATCTTCAGAGTCAAATCTGCGTAGCTTTTGATTGGTCCTGCGGAATTTCTAGTTCCATCAATATTGCGGACGGGCAGTGCTCGCAGTAACTGCTTGGTTTTGACTTCGTTTTTGTCTACGAACTTTTGGCTTAGAAATAAGTTCATTGCTCCACAGTCTACTAGAGCTTCCAATTCTGCTTTCTTGTTTTTTCCCTTCAATGTGATTGGCAAGTAAAAATGATCTCGTTTATTCCCAGAACAAACTTCTGATACCTCCGTAAACATGATTGCCGAATCACTAAGAATAGAAAAACGATTGTCCTGGTCTAAGTTCGCAGTCAACTTCGACCCTCCTAAAAACCCTGTTTCTTCAGTGCTTCATCTGAAGAAGTCATAAAAATCCTCTCATTCACGATGCGTTGGATATCTTCCAGCGTGATGGGTTTCACCGCTGTCTTTTCTTCCTCCTCTTTGACTGCTTTGATAGCAGGTCTCTTGCCTTTGGTATCCATCGGCTGTCCAGTGCAATTACGAGCCATGTGCCTGGGTTTTCCACAACGATAACACTTGAAAGTGTCTCCCGATTTGCCTTGAGGTTGGGGTCCACCTCGTGTCTTTGATGCATCTACGTCCATTGCATCTCCTCCTTGAGAAACTGGTTTGAGAGGGCCTCTTTCAACCCATGGGCGACGTGGTGGCTGCCAGGTCTTCTTTTTCTCATCGTCCAGTTCTTCAAAGTTCGTTCCTATGATAAGCGCATGTGAAATCATTCCTTCTAGGGTGCTCTTGTCCCTAGGGTTTACGTGGGCCAACTGATCTCTGATTTGTTGGGATAATGCGAGTCGGAACTTGTGTATGAGTTCATAGTCTGAAAAACGGCAGTGGGCGATCTTCTGTCTGAAGAGAGAGACGAATTCCGCGATGCTGCGGTTTCCTTGCTGGAGATGATCTATCTCGCGAGCAATCTTTTCTTCTTTGTTGACGATGCCCCACATAGCTTGCATATCGTTCTTCAACTGGTCATACGATCCAAGTCGTCCACTTAAGGCAGTTCTGGATACGCTTTCTCCCCATTTCGCTGCAGAGCCCTTGCAGAAAGAAATAAGACAGGAACTCTTCTGGAGCTCAGAGGCAGTAGGATAGGAGGTGAGGTAGAGATCGAGTTGAGAGAGGAAGGTGTCAACGTCGATAGAGTTCTTGTCTCCTGTGAATTCTGTAGGTTTGGCCATCTTGAGATCAGAGCTCGAAACTCCAGAGGTAGACGCCTGTATTGTTGGCGTTGTCGTATGAAAGGCTTGCAAAGCCATGATCGTTTGTTCCGCTGCCACTAGCCTCTGGGCTAACTCGTTCTTCTCTGTCTCCACCCTGTTTAGGTTCTCGGCTAAGAGTGCGAGATGATCTTTCAACTCGTTGTACCGGTGTTGGTTTAGATCTCTTTCTGCTGCGGTTACGGTGAATATGGCATTCGAAATGTTCTCATGGGTGATGGTAGTCCCTTGAGGGCCTAAGATGCCTTCCACTACCACAGAGCCCGGCCTCGATAGGGTCGGTGTGGAGCTTTCTGCAGATCCCGACGGCCCTGCTCCTAGTGTCTGCCATCCTTGAATTGGTGCGTGGTGCGGGGCGGGGGATTGGATTGTTCTCCAATCTTGCTCGGACATGAAGGAAAGGGCAGTTGTTCTCCCGACAGGTATCGTTGTCGTGGAGTTGTAGGGCGCGGTCTCTGACGAGACGAGATCTCCAAGGGGGAGCTATGATGACTATAGGTGCGAATACAGCGCGTGTAGCGGTTCGTCAACCTAAGTAGAACTCGAGAGGAGTTCGGGAGCGACGCGGTGAAGTTTGGGTCTTCTGAATACCCACAACTTCCTAAGGGAAATGTAACTAGGGTTGTAAGACCCGCGAGTGCCATTCTTTATAGTACGAAAGAAAAGTAGGTAGCGTGCAGTTGGTAGGGTTTTGGACCTAACTGCAGGCGTGCGGAGACAGGACCTAAGTGTCGCTGTTCCTTATAGACTGGCGGCTCGCATAGGGCAAGGGCCTGGTCTACTTCTACAAAAGACTAACGTAAAAGAAATTGGTATAGTGCGCGTCTGGGAAAGATGATTGGAAACGTAATCCGCGAGAAAATTCTCAGCAGAATAGCACGGGTGAAGTTTGTCGAGGACAAGGTGTCCAAGACAAAATTCGAGTCGGAGTGGTAAGAAGACTTAACCTAATGTTATGATCAGCGTTCACCAAATGGCAAAGGCTTAACACAACCACTAGGACTCGTCAAGGTAAGAGCAAGAGATGATATTGAGAGTGAACGTCTGAGTCTACACTGGGTAGGAACGAAGAGGTTAAGTCTAAAGAGAAAACTACGCTAACTACCCTTTCTATATACATAACATTGAGTCGGAGATATCTGAGTCCGTAAATAATCAGCCAATGAGAAAAGAGTCGTACGATACTGCGCATGACATAGTATGACGTCGTGATATATAAGCAATGATGTCAGAGATGGAGATTAAGTGATAGGAAGACATATAGTTCTAGCCCTGGGCGTAGGGGATCCGATCGGAGATGTGATTGGTGAAATGTGAAGTGGTGAAGGTGTGACATGGTGATGATGTGATAATGTGAAAGGTAGTGGTGTCACGTGACCGGTTCGGGTATGGGACATAGCCGAAGGAAAACCGAGGAATGAAAAATGATTTGTATTAGGAATTCGTGACAGACAGTAGGTACTATCACATGGGTACTAAGCTATGTGCCTGTTCTATCCTTGCCAGGATGGAGTATGTACGCGATCCATCCTAGCCCATCCACATGAGGGAATCCCGGCATAAATATGAACAGAATCCCTCATGTACCATGCCCAAGCAATTCTATCCCCTTCCACTTCATGAACCCCATGTCTTACGATCCTTCCTGAAAACACGATCATACAGCTGGGCTCGTACATGAACTCCAGCTGAAGACTTGGCATACTCATGTGAGCATTTGAATAACTACCCACGGTGGTGAGAATATCGAAGCATTCAGGAATGGATATGTGGTCTCGATGATTGGGGGTTTGCTGATTGGAAATGACGGTGAGGGTGTTAAACATGGATGCTCAGTACTGGAGGGTCTCTGACATCCTCGGAAGATTCTTGCTTTCGGCTGATTGTCCGAAAAGGCTCATATCCCAGCCCAGTACTGCTCAGGATGCATCACCCTGAGTGCGGCTGATGCGATGGCTGCCGGCCTGGCAATGGCTTTGAGAATATTCTCGGAGAATGGTCCCTTCAATGAGGCAGATACCACCGGGTCTGACAGATTCTACCGGATTGGTCAGTGTAACTATCAGAAACCACCATCTCATGAGATCCCACCTCATGCCCCTGTTGAAACCAAGCTGGAGATAGATTGATGCATCCGGGAGATATGCCATCATTTTCCAAGCTTGGTTTGAACCAATCCTGATTAGTCCGCCAACTCCCATCAACCTTTACACTTTTTGCAAGGCTCGGACTGAGCAACTCAGAGGCTGCCAGAATTTCCTTCTGGAGTTCCCATTTCATATTCCATATCCATCGAGTAACAAAATATATTACCCACCTGGGTGGTTTCCATCAGGGCATCTGGGAGGTACCACACAATGATGGTGCCGGTAGCATCGAGCACTGTGGCGGGTATGTCGACCAACTTTGTACCTTCATGGCCAGGAGGACACCTCTCAAGCAACCTCGCCTCTCTTTCTTCATTATGTCCAGTGTCCTTTGGGGAGATCATTTTGCTGTATCTCGCAATATCAATCTGCATCCGAACTGTGAAGCAGTTTGAATGATCAAATGGACTGTCCAAATCTGCGGGAAGACCCACTGGGATTGTTATATGCCTTTATGAGGCAATCCACCAATCAATCACAAGCCATCACCAGATCGGTGTCTAGCTTAGGAGAAGGTATGACTGGGTCTCCTCCTGTTTTCTCGGCAATGAATTTCTGTTCGGTATATTCACATGCCTCATGAGTGACTGTCAAGGCCCAAGTGCACCAGAAGGTTATTTCAATATCGGAGGTGGAAGACACATTCATGATGGTGTTGATCTTGGGAAATCAGATGGTCAATGCCGGATGTCCACAGACTTTAAAGGTGGTGGAGATAGGGTGGATCAGATAGGGAACCTTGATTTTAGCTTTCAAAGATGGATTATCATTTCATTGCTATACTAATATGTCAATGAAATACCGGATAATGGGAAGGGTGCTAGATATCAAATATTTGAGTGTCAGGACCCGGGACTCCCGGATCCCGGAACTCGGTACATGATGCTTGGTTCATTCAAATTTCGGTAGTTGGAACTTAGCTTTCAAAGACGGATTATCATTCATTGCAATGTTAGTATGTCAATAAAATACCAGATCATTGGAAGGGTGCTAGATATCAAATATTTGTGTCGAGACCCAGGTCCCAGAACTCAGTACATGATGCTTGGTTCAGTCAAATTTTGGTAGTTGAAACTGACCTTTCTATGATGGATTATCATTCATTGCAATGTTAGTATGTCAATGAAATACCAGATAATTGGAAGGGTGCTAGATATCAAATATTTGAGTGTCGAGACCCGGGTCCTGGGTCCCGGAACTAAAATTTCGGTAGTCGGAGCTTGGCACTTGGCACTTGATAGTCCCACCCATCTATATCATATAATAACCTCAGCCCACCTGTCAACATCATATACATCTGGGCCCACCCGTGTATATGATACAACACCCTCGGCTCAGCCCACCCGTTGACATGATGTGTCTGGGCCCACCCATGTATATGATAACAATTAAACTCGATGCCCGGAACTCGGTGCCCGGAACTTGGTACTCGGTGCCCGGAACTCGGTACTCGGTACTTCGTGATTTGTTCAATTTATGAAATACCTGGAAGTCGATATTAGTTACCTGGAAGTCGATATTAGTTACCCAGACATCAATAGATGTTACCCAGAACTCGATAGATGTTACCTGGAACTCGATAGATGTTACCCGGCCCATGGATATGATATCAACCATCTCAGCCCACCCGTCTATATAATATACTACTACCTCGGACCATACATCTATATAATATACTACCACCTTGGCCCATATGTCTATATGATATGTATCTGGGCCCACCCATATATGTGATATCCAACTACCTCGGCCCACCCATCTATATAATATCTAATAAATTGCTCTCTTGGCCCACCCGTCTATATTATATACCCCCATGTCAGCCTACCTGTCTATGCAATATACGACGACCTTCGGCCCACCCGTATATATAATATATATTTTACCGCTCCCTCAGCCCACCTGTATATATAATAAATATTTCACCACTCCCTCGGCCCACCCATCTACAAAATAATACCAATATGTCAGCCCACCTGTCTACAAAATAATCTTAATTCGTCAGCCCACCCATCTAATATGATATATATCTGGGCCCACCCGTCTATGTGATAACAAGCACCCTTGACATACCCGGCTATTTGATACACATCTACCTTGGTAAACCCATCTACATAATATCCAACTACCTTGGCCCATCCGTCTATTGAATATTCATGTCTATCGGCCCACTCATCTACTCTACATATTCCCTACATGGGCCCACCCATCTCCATTGGGAATAATAACACTCCCGGCCCATCCGTCATAGTCGAGGATATATCTACCTTCGGCCCATGGTCCGCTGGCCCGTATAATATGGGATATTATGCACGTCCGTTCACTCGTATAATACAGAGATATGGTACTGCAATATGTGCTCCTGCAAGAAGACAAAGACTTGCAGAAAAATGGTGGAGCTGTGCACCCTGAGACCTCTGAGGGTGTTGATCATCCGCCATCAGCACAAGTCACGGAAGCACCTATTCTTCCAGTGGTGCCGTCTTCCCCACAGAACTCATCTCATCCCGCAGAACTTACAGGAGATAATGGGCAGTCTGTCCCTGTCCCAGATGTCCCTCCCCAACTACCTCAAAATCCACCACATGCTCCATTGGAGGACACTCGTCCAAGGCCCCATGACAATTGGTATCTTCATGATCATGGTCACTCCAGGGAGCCTCATATCCACGACCTCCCACTCAATGATCCCCATGACCTGCACCCTCGCCAAGAGAACTCTCCTGGACTACATGATGACTGTCGCTACCCCAGTGATGAGCCATGTGGTGCGCATATGTACCACAAGGAGGTAGATCGGTACGCATATACCAGGTGAGCACGACCTGGAGGAGACTACCCTTATCAAAGGGAGTATTTGTATTACGGCGACCACAGTGAAACCTACCCACCGGGATATTCATATGCTCCTCAGCATGAGAACACAGGCTATCATGATGCCACTGGGTATAGGCGACCATACTATCATGAGGCTCGGTACCCAGATCGTGAGCTTCTTGATGACCGCTTGCGTGGACCTCCCCCGCTGGACATCCATGGAGAATACATGCGTCCAAGCAGTCGCGAGGGTCATGCTGGCTATGAGCATGCATATCAGCGCCAGCCTCCTCGACACCGCAGCAGCCGGAGTCCCATTGCCAATGTCCCACTCACCTTGCCTGGTCAGGTGGGAGAACAGGAACAACATGAAGGAGCGGCCATTCCAAGGTAAATGTGAAGCGTCTATCTCTCGCTAGTACGAGCTTTTTTACTTGTCTAATACTGTTTGGGCGTGGTCTTCCCCTTATACCATCTTAAAGTCACTGCTCGCCTGCTGTGGACCCTCTGTTTGTGTTGCTACGTCTTTTTTGTGCTGCTGTGCACCCTCTTGCATCCTATTGGATCTTCAATGGACCCTCTCATACTTCTAGCGGACCTTCTCGCGCCCTCTCATACCTTTTCAGATATATCGAGTGCATCCTCTTGTATCCTCTCATTTTAGCTACAGAAAAAATATATGATGCTTACTTTGGGCACACCGATGTAGGCGCTCAGAATATACTAGTACTATGGACAAAATATTCAAAAACCAAATTGCATTGTGGCAACATATGGAGAAGGTGTGACTACGTGACTCGTGACAGAATATATGGAGAGGGTAAGATTTCCATAAACATAAATGATAGGGAAGCACGCGAGCCTTGGGAGGAGGACACCTCTCGCAAAGGAGGATACTGTAGAGTTACGACCGTAGCTTCGTGCCCTTTTGGGTGTGACCATGTCACACTTAGCTTCGCAGCTTTGTAGGCCCTTGTGATGTGTGACCTATCCAAGTTAGCTTCGCCCCGACTGACTCGGGTTTGCAACCCAACTTGGTGCAACAATCTTCTCTCTTCCTTTTGGTGGTGATATGGACCAAAAGATCCTCACATCGTTGCCTTGGGCCCTCCGCTATGGGCACATTTAGAATGGATAAAAGGATGGTCAGCTGCATTCCATGTGAGTCAGAGGTTGCAGGAAATACTCAGGCCGCTGAGGCCTCGAACACAGGTGAGGGAGAGGACAGCGCAGATGCATATCCAATACCCTATATAACGATTTTTGGTCGCACTGCTAAGTTAGTGCTAACTTGTCTGTAGCGATTTTGTTGGCGATTTTTCCTGTTTTACCGCTTGTCACAAAATAGCTTCGCTCCCCAAAATTTAGTGTGACCGTCACATCAAATAGGTTCGATTTGCTGTGGGGTGGGACGCGTGACGAAGTTACAGTCGTAACGCTACAGTACCTCGTACAGGTGTGCGAGAGGCTTGGACAACCCTCTCAGCGAATTTGGTAAGGAACTCCCTTGGGAGGGTGGTCCTCAGAGGGCCCGCAGGAGAATGCGAGAGTACGTACTATTATTAGCTGGCGGGAGGGTGGGTCTCACAGACCAGTTTCCCATAACATAGAGACCGGGTCTGTGAGACCTGGGAAAGTGCTGCCAAGGGTGAATTCACGATGGATCAATGTTAATTTACTGGTGTGCTGTTTTGCTTGTCCTCATTCTATTCTTTCCAATCCTTTCACGGTGCACCCTCGTCAACTGCGGTCGTCGTTGTTCCACTCGACTTCCACCTGCAACAGAGCCCCCTTGATTAGTTTCCCTGATGTTCTCCACCATCTGTATTCTTCTGGAATGCCGCGTCCAATGGTTCCTGAGCGCTCAGCTTATTCTGAAGTACACAACGATGTCGCGGACAGAATCGTTGATGTTGATCGATTGATACCATCCCTTATGGTCTATTCGTGATTGCCCACCATTTCGTGAGTCACATTTTTTGGCGGTGTACTGGTATGTCACGAAATTCACTGTGACTCGAGACTGTAAGGGATGGTAAATGATGAGATCATCCCTTCAGCAATTATTTTAGTCCCTCAAGAATTTCCAATCGGATCTTAATTACCGGCAATCAGAGTCAGATGACATTTAATGAATTGACCAACAAGCTCCAGTGTTGTTGGCAGAACTCAGGTGCGGGGTAGGCGGCAGAACCTTGCTTAATGGTCAGTTTCAACACGTTATTAGTAAGGATAGAGTAGAACACACCTTCATTGTAGGATTTTCTGAGTCGAGCACCACACGTATATACATAGTGCTACATTTTGAAGTGAGATGTGACAAGACGGTGAGGAACGTCAAGTCAGCGTGCAAGTACACGATGAATGGACACAGCCACTGCTTCAGGACAGTTTCAAGTTTCAATGAAATCGATGTATCTAGATAGATACAAACATGGCTATGATAATGTGAATTCTTTTGTTTGAACGGCGCCGCATGGCCCACTTCCACCTCCCAAGAATGAGATAAAAAGAAGATACGAGCACACAGAACTCCGAGTCTTCAACAGTACAGCGTGAATGAGTGATGCTGAGGAGTATAGCGCCTGGAGTACGAGATTGTCGAGGGAAGAAGAGAGAAAGTGTTGTTGAATGACACTTCTAGTGCAGAAAATAATTATGCACTGTCTTGACCCTCGAGGGACTAAAACAATTGCTGAAGGGACGATCTCATCAATTATCAACCAATCAACATCAGTGATTCTGTCTGCGACGCCGCTGATACATGTGCGTTGAATAAACTGAGCATGCAGGAACCATTGAACGCAGCGTTCTGGACGAATCCAGATGACGGAGAACAACATCAGGAAAAACCAATCAAGAAGAAATGACTGTCTTGACACCCCCCCCCACTGAAATTGGATCTGATCTATGATAATTTGATGACATGCACTTCCCGCAATTTGTGGGCCCTTTGTATTGGAGGCCTTGGAAGCAGATCACTGAGTTGTGACGGCGTTCATTTGGCCACGCTCTTGGACTTCTATGAACGTGCGCATGAGGCTTCACAAGGAGTCCTGGTGTTCGATATCAGCAACTCAAGAGAATCAGTGCGAGAGGCAGCGACAGACTGAGGGCGTGATGCAAAAACTCCTGCGCAACGAGACCAAAGTGGGATTCGACGCTGAACACGATCGACTGGTATGTCTTGCCGTTCTTACCTTGTTTAGCGGGACTGTTTCACCACCTCTATAGCGCCATATCTCCACCTCGAGCACGGAAAGGGTCGATAAATTCGTGAGATTGGACCAATACTTGCGCGAAAAACCTTGACCCTGACACACTGCAAATGTGCACGTTCGTAAAGTCAGCTCACGTTCCAAAATGTCACTAGATGTGCACAATCTAAAGTGGCAGTCTGCTGGCATTGCATCTGTTTGAAAGTGTAGATAGGTTCTTCCTTCATCGCCACGGATGACAATATTCAGCACATAAAAACAAGCCGTCTTCCTACTGTCCCCTTCAGATTGATTTGAACCCATATCACATCCTCCCTCACAAACATTGAACAATGCGTTTTACCTTCGTCCTCCTTCTTGCTGCTGCTTTGACAGCATCAATCTCTGCAGCATCCACACCTGCCAGCGACCCTGCCGACATTGAACCACAGGGATGCCCTACCGCTTGCATCACTAATAAACAATGCAGACACTGCTCGATTACTAAGCTGTGTGTGAGTATGAGTGGTTTGCGTCCTATATTGAACCACATGACTCACTGGCGTGGCAGTACCTCTTTTTATGCGAGGCCCAGTCCGGCCCCAATGCGTGAGTTACTAGTAGCAAGTTATAGGGGGAGGACTCTGAATCGGAGGACATCAGGAGCAACCAAGCTTGAAAGAAGTGGAGACATAGCAGAGAATTATCTTGTATCTGGCTGAGACAGAATGGAAAGAGAAAATGACTGCTGAACACTGAGGTGAGGCATACATCAAGAACATGATGTGACGACTTTGAAGCTAAGGAGCTTGACGTGGCTACGCCACACTTTTCCGTGGTAATATATGCCAGGCTAAGTGCCTCAACGCCATCTGCTAAACCAACGAAGAAGAATCGCCACCACTCTCTGTAAGAATAATGCATTAAGTCTGCTAATTAGCAGACACAGGTAATGCATCAACAGTGCTTACTAGCATACTCTCATGATGCATCAGTGATGCATGATTTGATGCTAACTAGCAGACATAATTCAGGCTGCCTAGATAGATAGGATTGTACCCACCAGCCCGGCAATTAAGAGTTTTTCCCCGGCCACTTCAGAGTACTGTTAAATCGCGATCTTGATCAATTCAAAGATTATATAATACTAGTGCTGCCGTGGTCCGGTCCTGAACCACGGTTCGAACCTGACCAATGGTCAGGTTCGTCCTTGGTTCGGTCCATGGTTCTGAATTTTGTGCGGACCGAACTGGAATGAGGTTCGTGGTCTGCTGTCTCCCGAACGGTTCGGACATAGGTTCGGACGTTCCCGAACCGGTCCGAACCCCAAACCGAAGCTTCCTTGCAACATTGGCGAGGCACACACTTATGGTCATTTTGACTTCTGGATCCTCGAGATTTGCACCGACTTTGAATTCTGTCTGGTTCCCCATGGTCACTTTGACTTCTGGGATCCTTGAGATTTGTATTGACTTTGAATTCTGTCCAGAGGCTCGCATCCCGCACCTCCTGCTGTCCAATAAAGCTCAAGGTATGAATTAACCGTCAAATCAAGTGCAATAAACTCAATAGACTGATTGATATATTACATTGAGGTTTGGATGGACGCCAATGGTGATTCGTGCCACCAGGTGATGAGGTAGGAGCTTCACCTGGGGAATACTTTGTATCTTCAATACTATCATTCAATGGGAAATGCACAATTTTCACTTATTGCTGAATAGCAACACAACAACAACACATATTCATATCAGATCTACTGTAGTGTATACCTTAGGTCTCTGCGCATAAGGCCCAACAAGAATTTATTTTATTTTGTTGTGAGCTTGTTGCAGTGGCAGCACTGGAAGTTGAGATGTCGAAAACACAATAGAAATGCACAATTCCGTCACACTATGTCACGCGCGGCACCTCGGCCAATACACAATGATATCCAAAGTCCGACAGCGCGCAAAGCAAATGAAAGTTCAGTGTTGCCAAATGCAAACAAAGTGGAGACTCAACCAAGCCGAGAGTGTGATTTCCCAATCTAGCCTGACCGTCACACTTTGCTCATGAATCGTGAATAGCACACTGTGGTGGTATTCTATTGATATAGAAACACCTGGGGTAGATTCAGAATAGTGTATTTCATACATGTTGAAGTTCCTATGTTGATAGGTCAATGGGATGTGGGTGGATCTTGGATTTAGTGTCCAAAAATCACTCATTTTGGGTACACTTGCACAATGTTTCATCTCGGGAAGGCTTCACAGCGCCGATCTTAAATATTTGATTTGGCAGTCTTATTGAACATATGCTAATACTTGTTCTCCAGCTGTTCCGAATGAAATATATGTAGAGTGGTGAGCTCTGGAGTGCATTGTGCATTACCCATCAATTGTGCATTCCGGATCAGGTGATAGTAGTGGGACTCAGAGTAGTTTTTGGGACGCTCGCTAAAGTTCGCTAGAGTTCTACTAACCCCAATAGAGCTGCAAGGATCAGCCACCAACACACAAACACGAGACATGCGGCACACCTCGGCATCATGGCGGACTTCGAAAAACATGCCTGCTACTCGACCACCACCTCATCATCATTCTGCGCGCCTCAAGGCCTTGCAGAGACTCTCTCGAAAGGACCCGAACATCATGGACCACACCCAACGAGCTGTTACCCACGTAAAAGCCAAGAATGGCGGCTTGCAAGGTGGTAATACTGCCAGTACTGCCAGTACTAGTGCTGGCAAGGAACTTCGTATCCAATGGAATGCTGATCCAAAGTGCACCGACAAGGTTGTCGAGTACCTCCATACTCACCCTGCTGACTCCCACCTCTTTTTCTTCAATGATGGGAAGGCCCATCCTGATGGTGATCGCCTCTTGGGTAAAGACAAGCTTTTGGTTTGCAGTGTAATCACAAAGTATGTCTTTGAGTGCAATCCAGAATATGCGCCCATATATACAAACGTGCTGGAGAGATTTCATGACTCAACAAATAATCACATCATGAGGTAAGAGATCTCCTATCCATCTGTATATATGCTGATCATATTCCCTTCAAAGTCTCAAGAAAAAGTATCGTGAATGGTACAATAAACTACATGCGACGGGTGCTGGTGTCATGCCACTCGATGATAATGCCGCTATAAACTTGTGAGGTGCGTATTTTAAATAAAATACTTATTTAACAATTTAGCTGATAAAATTCAAAGCACAAATCTTGGACGATTTTCCCTGGTACAATGACATTGCTTCCATCGGAGGGACAAACCCAGCATTATCACTCAATGTTACCTCATCACAACCTGGATCAGATCACACATCAAAATTCTTTTCACTCCTACATCCAGCGGGGAGCACTCGTTCAAGTTCAAGGAATGCTCAGTCCTCTTCTAGTGCTCAGCATGGCGGCCATGTTGCTGGTGCTCGGCCTGCTCCCCCCAGCACTCAGTCTTCTTCCAGTGCTCAGTACGGCGGCCATGTCGCTAGTGCTCAGCCCGCTCCCCCCAGTCCTCAGGCTTCTTCTGGTGCTCAGCCTACTCCCTCCAGCACTCAATCTTCTGGTGCTCAGTACAGTGGCTATGCCGCTGGTGCTCAGCCTAATCCCCCCAGTGCTCAGTCTTCTTCTGGCGCTCAGCCCGCTCCCCCCGGCGGTCAGTATGGCGGCCATGTCGCTGGCACTCAGCCCGCTCCCCCTGGCACTCAGTATGGTGGCCATGTTGCTGGTGCTCAGCCCACTCCCCTCGGTCCTCAGGCTTCTTCTGGTGCTCAGTACGGCGGCTATGTTGCTGGCGCTCAGCCCGCTCCCCCCGGCGGTCAGTACGGCGGCCATGTCGCTGGCGCTCAGCCCCTTCAGTTTGGCGCTCTTCCCCCTCAGTTTTACTATGACCCTCAACCCCCCCAGTTTGGTGCTCAGCCCCCTCAATTTAACAATCAGCCCCCCCGGTTTGACTATGGCGCTCCATCCCCCCAGAGTACACATCCCCCTTACGGCATGCCCCCCCACTCTCAATTCGTGCCTCCCCCCAATGTCATCGATCCATCTCTTGATGACGATGACGGCAGCAATCTTGATGATGGGGGGATGGACTTCGGCGGCTACGAATTGGACAGTCATGCGACACGGGATTACAGTGAGCAGAATGCGAATGCTGTGAGCCTGGACAGCCCGCCCAGGCCCAAAATTACTAGAACCAAACGGCACCCTCCATCTCTCCTTTGCCTCCTATCACCCCACTGCAATTTTTAGTTATCACAAGCGATGAATTATATGACAGTCGCTCTGCCTCGACGACCAATCCAAGAGACGCACAGCACTGGTACTCATCCCCTCTCTATGGACGCCGTCTACTTCTGGGCCTTGCGTCGGTCCACACCCACGTCTCTCACATGCCTGTCACATGCCCAATCACAAGCATCTCTCGGAAGGTAAGCAATGAAGAGCAGCGTCAACTTAGAGTGAGGGATCCTGATGATTGAGAGTATGCATCGACAGGTGTCCACTTGATCAAGAATGACCGCTACATGGCCAAGCTAAACCTTGCTCATAAAGATAAGGAGCATCAGTTCCTCCACAAACAGCGCATGCAGGAGTGCATGGAAGCTGTCGCTGTCCATCAGCATGCTCAGGAGGTGATGACTATGAAGATCCATCTACATGAAGCAGAGGTCAGTGCACACAATGCAATGAAGGAAGTGCACAACCAGGAGGCAGCAATGCTACGTCTTAAGATCGAGTACTGTTGACTTACCAATGCTGGTGGTGTGGATGGGTCTTAATGGTGTGCATGTTGCTTGCTGCTGGTTGCTAGTTGCTGCTGTATCTCATTGTTATGATTGTTCTTGTCGTGATGCTGACTATCATGCTACTATCATGCTACTACATATGTTTCATACTGTGTTACCTGTACATCTTTGTTGTCTTCTGCTGATATTCTCATAGACTCCATTGCTAATGAACTATGTTTGCCTTGTGAATGAAATTGTGTGAAAGGTTCTATGTAAGTCCTAAGTTGCCATCCTTGTCTACCCTTCATATTGGGGCTTCAAAGAGATCCACAACAGACAAGCCTGACCTGAGCCATATACCTCCATGTTGCTGATCCTTACCCTCACATAACCCTGGCCTCTTTACAAGCCCATTTTGTTGAACTTTTCGTCCCATGGTATTCTTCAAACCGAATAATCATGTTATGGAGTATGAGGCAGCATTGAATCCAACAGATAGCCAGTTGAAGGTCATCTGCAGAATTAATATTCTGTTGAAGCTCTCGAAGGATTGAAACCGCCCTTTCAGAGCAGCAAATGCATGTTCAACTTGTACACGGACCTAAATAAATTTAAAATTAGAAAACACTGCATTAAAAATTGGAGTGGGGAGGGGGAAGGGGAGGGGGAAGGGGAAGAACAAACCATAGAAAGGTGATAATTAAATGACCTCTGATTCTTTGTCAGACTTCCATTGCAGGGCTTCTTGAAGGGGGGGATACACCATGTCTCCACTGGATAAGCCCTGTCTGCCCAGACCCAGTGGTCATCTGGAAGAAGGGTGTTGTGTTCTTGATAGAGACGGGTGGATCTGAAAGTGTATGCATTGTGGACACTTCCAGGGTGACCAAGAGAATAATCGACTATAAGAAGATTGTGAGGCATAATAGCTGCCTAGAATTAAATTAAATTTTTGAATCATAGACAAAGAAAGACAAAGCTTACTTGACAGCCAAGGGAATATCTTGATTTCCTATCATAAAAAACCTCGCCATGAAAACCAGGTTTTTCATACAGATTAATTGTTGTCCCATCAACAGCTAGAATCCCATTCTGCCACTCAGGGCAAACTGTCTTCCCAACAAAATCCTGAGCAAGCTGGAAATCCTGTGAATCAGGTGGAGGAAAGCCCATGAATGCATCATGCTGATCAAGCAGGGCAACCATTACACGATTAGTGCAATTAACAACTGATCCAACACTAACACCCGCCCATTGAGCCACATCCTCCAGAGATATGGTGTTACCGTAGTGGCCAGCACGGTTAAGAAAAATAGCAAGTTGTATAGCAATGGGAAGCTGAGAGTTGTGTGAGTTGTTGTGAAAAATGGGATGGTCAGAGATTAGATCCAGGATGTCGTCAAAGATTTCTGGGTCGATGCGTAATTTTTGCCGAAATAAGTGAGGACGGTGTTCCTCAAAATGAACAAGAAGGTGCAGCTGTGGGGCTCGTAGGGGAGGTTCATCAGGCCTGTAGAGTGCACGTGCTCTTTCTACCTCGTCCCAGAGAGCCTCAATGGAGTCTCAAATCTGGTCATAATGGGCAGTAAGATGATCAGCTTCATCTCCAGATGAGTCAGAGTCTGAAAAGTCACTATTTGAGTCATCGGAGAAGAATGGGGAAAGAGGCAAAGGAGGGGTAATCACAATGTTCATGAAAGAGTCGCTGAGATCTGATTCCAAATATGAGGAGCTTGAGATGGAGTCCATATATTTGTCATCTTGTACCAAGGCATGCTGATATGCAGCCCTAGCTAGTGAGAGTGCAGCCTGGTCAATTTCATGCAACATATCTGTCTGCCTGGATGGACGAGGCATGGTGAAGGTCGGGGGGGATCAATTCCCCTATCTCCCACTGCACATGTAACTGATTACGATGTAAATTAGGGTGGAGATTGAATTTCTGGGTTGTTCCGGACCTTTTGTTTCATCCCTCAGATGATCGTGGTAGGCGTCCTTGAAGACTCAGATCTCACCCTGGCACCTCACACACAACACCGACTACAAATTCAGGAAGCTGTCGGTGGATATGGACACAAGGTGTGTGCACCTCCAGCACCTTACCACCCTTTGCCCTAATCCTCACCCCACAGCCTTATCAGGCTGCCGGTGCAATCTTTTCACGGATCTCAGCCAGGCTTAACTGCTCAGTGCCCTTCCCCCAGTACCCTCACTTTGACTCTACTTCACCCAACACCACCTCGTCACAACCCAGATCAGATCACGCATCAAAATTATTTTCACTCGTACATCCAGCAGGGAGCACTCGTTCAAGTTCAAGGAATGTTCAGTCCTCTTCTAGCGCTCAGTACAGCACTCAGTACAGCGGCCATGTCACTGGTGCTCAGCCCTGCTCCCCCCAGTGCTCAGTCTTCTTCCAGTGCTCAGTGTGGCAGCCATATCACTGGTGCTCAGCCCTGCTCCCCCAGCACTCAGTCTTCTTCCAGTGCTCAGTATGTCAGTCCTCTTCTGGCACTAAGTACAGCGGCTATGTTGCTGGCGCTCAGCTTGCTCAGCAGTATGACACCCAGCACCTCCAGCTTGGGTGTTCCCCTGGCGCTCAACCCCCAGCCCCCTCAATTTGACATTCTTCTTACTCATCCTTGCATGCTCCACCCCCTCCCCACTTTCACTTTGCACTTCCCCACTCCTTTCATTTGAGGACTCCTTATCACTTTGCTAGACTTCTTTTTTTTTGGCATTTCTTTTGATTTAGTGGGTTCAGGTATGGAGTACATTGATTTGCTAGCTATGTTGTCCCTATTCCTCTTTGCTACACACCCATTTGCTATCAAACACACCCTCGGAAATTTGTAGCAGCATGCAAGCCTTGCAAATTCACAAGTGTCGTTTCTAAGTCCGCCATCATGCCGATGTGTGCCGAGTGTGTTGGTGGCTGATCCTTGCAGCTCTATTGGGGTTAGTAGAACTCTAGCGAACTTTAGCGAACTTTAGTGAGCGTCCCAAAAACTACTCTGAGTCCCACTAATGTGGAGCTCCTGATGAGTCATCATGGTCAAATCTATCGGCTACTACTTATGTCATGTTCTTTGTTATAACATCCGACATGGTACAAGTAAGACGAGTGCAAGGGTATAAAACCATGCCACTCCTTTCTTTTCTCCTAAAACAAGCCCCGCTTCACATCATTTCATCAACTAAATTCAACTTCACGCCTCGTTTGAAATGTGCTTCGTTCCATCAACAACCATGGATCATCATCATGAGGGGCTCCCAATTCCAAACTTATCTGGTCAGTCAGTCAGTGACGGTTGTTTCAAGCTGGTTGAGTTAATTGGCTTTGGTGCTTCCAGAACTGTCTATCACACTCTCGACACTCAACCAGATCCATGTGATCCTGTTTATTATGCCATCAAGTGCTTGCCAAACACAAACCTCTCCCAAGATTGTCTTGTATGGCAGAGGCGGGAGATCACATCCCACTCCTTGGTATCTGGAAAAACATTGTCGCCATATATCTGCCATCTCCATGAGACCATCGCGGAAGGACCATACATCTACCTGGTGCTCAACTACTGCCCTGGTGGGGACCTCTTTACCGCCATAAGGATGCAAAAATATGAGGGTGATGTCGCCCTCATTAAGAGGGTGTTCCTAGAGCTTCTCAATGACATACATGCCTGCCATCAGATAGGCGTTTACCACCATGACTTGAAACCACAGAATATTCTCTGTGTTGAGAGCAGTTTGGGCATTCGTATTGCGGATTTCGGACTGTCAACCAAAGATGACTGCAGTAGGGAATTTAATGTAGGAAGTTGTGAGTACATGAGTCCTGGTATGTTGACATTCGCGTAAGCTTTTCATCTAATAATATTTTTTATCCTAGAATGCAATTTGGAGGCGAAGAGCTCTCATTACTCGCCAATTTACTCAGACCTCTGGTCATTGGGAGTTATTCTTGTGAACATGGTCATGGGCCACTGCCCCTGGGAAACCGCGGAGCCTTCGGATCCAGACTTCCGGAGATATCTCGACAATGCTGACTTCCTTCTCAAGGTCCTTCCCATTTCAAGATCTTTCAACAAAATTCTCAAGTTGATCTTTGACATGAATCCGTACTCACGAATGAGTGCTCTTGAGCTCAGAGATGAGATCATTAAACTTAAGAGCTTTTACCCCAGCTACGCCAAGCACTGCGCCACCCTGGACAACGCACGAGAAGCCGCTCAGGGCTACACTAGGCACTTCACACTACTGACTAACATGAACTTCCACCTGAACTCAGCGTCACCCAACTCCTATTCTGACAATGGAGCCCCTCAGCCTCAGCAGGCTTCTGCATTGGCAGTTCTACAACCTAGCAACTCTGCAAGAGTTGACAATAATCAGCCTTGGTCACAGGCTAGCCTACTATTGACCTGATCTACATGTTCCTTTTCTCCAGGGGAGAGTGAGGAACTCACTACTTCAGAAACTCACCCCTATGAGCCCTTGACGTACTGGTTCAGGGGGCAGAAGATTGACGAACTGATGTTTGCATGCGTGCCTGCCCAAACAGGGCCAATGTCCTATATCCCACCCATCCATACCTGTCTTGCGAGGTGTGTGTCAACTGTTTCTCAGAGGAAGAATGAGACAGATCGTCCCGACACCATGTCCAAGGATTGTAGAGAGACCACTTTGATCTCCATTCCAAAGTTTGTTGAGGTAGTAGCTGAATACATCATAGTCCTCTCTTCATTAAAACACAAGTTAGATTCACGGGATGATCGAAGACCGAATCACACCTGTAGTGGCCACGTCAAAAGAAACAATGATAAAATATCTTCGGAATGTAAACAGAATACACCTCAAGTTAGTCTGACTCTTAGTGCGCCAAAAAGAAAGAAGAAATATTTGACCCAAGCTCGAACTAGGGACCTTCTATGTGATAGACAGATGCGATAACCAACTACCCCATCAACACGGCGAGTTGAGGACTCAAGTGTGAGAAGCCTTGAAGGACGCCTGGCCTTGAAATTTTTCTTCAGGGAGCCTCGCACGGCCTCTCAGGTAGGTGTCCTTGTTTTTCAGTAGTGTGCACCTGCAGGCCATGAAAAGCAGTGAAATATGCTCGCTGGCTCTGCGTCGTGGTTGATATCCGTACCATGATGTACTAGAGGGTCGAGAGTGCTTACAGGGCAAGGTATAAATCAAAGTTTGATGTGTTGTATACATTAGCAGTAGGCCCCATACCATACGGTAGATATTGATGTAAGGGAAAATAATGCTTTCTGTGATAGTGCGAGCGTGACATGTTGATGCCATCAATCAGAACTCAATTCATCGGCCATACCATGCAGTGGCAATCAGTGTGAATACCGCACCAATGGCCTAGGTAGCACTCACGAACGCCACAAGTTCAATCACCAGAAGAAATGCAGCATCAAATCAAATTTGCAGGGATTGAATAGTGTTCTGTAGCCATTGATCCGGTACAAATATCGTAAAAATGGGAAGGCCCCATCACGAGCGAATGCAAATGTCTGACTGAGAGCTGACCCAGTTCGATGCTACCATACACCTGCCTGTGATGTTGTTGGTTTCTGATTTTATAAGACTAGGACTGCGCTGGCGCTATCCAAGTCTACTCCGTCAAGAAAGCCGTGGCTGCAATGCCTTGGCGGTGAGTTGTAATAGATATATCAATACACGTGGATATTTAAAATGTTGTCATGACTATACTCACATGAGTTACATCTAAGTTATTCTAGGTTGTATGCAGTGGGCGCCAGGACACATGAGATAAGGTGCAATGAACCTGCAAGTGCGTGCGATGAATTTGAAAACGGACTTTAGGCATTTGATGTCATTGAGCAAGTGCTTGAGATGGTGTGTGCGTGCACCAAGCTCCAGTCTTAGGATGTTTCGGTGGCGAGTGTAGGCAGGACACATGAGGAGGAAGTGATGGACTGATTCTGGGCATTTCGTGGCACTGTTGGCAGGTTGCTGTTGGGGATCTGGAGATTCGGAAGAGGTGTTTATTGAGAGGTGCGCGTCCGGTTCTAAGTTGGAACAGAAGTGAGCTGTGACGGCGCGGGAAACTTTCAATGATGCTGGCGAAGTGTTTGGACAGCGCAGATGCAGTCGATGGCTTGCGGCTTGCTTCACGGGTGCCTGCAGCTGAACGCACTAATGAATCGGACAAGTCTAGTGGGCGATGTATAAATTCATATGTATACTAGAACTATGCATAAGAGATCGTCCTAATGATGGTATATGAGCATCTATACATGTCGTGGGGTGAGATGAGTACTCGGTATAAGATCTGGATAGAGACATAAATGACATATAAAGTAATACAACCCATGATGATGATACACTGCAGTCCAAACAATGAGAACACTAAAATCCGTCGTTTATGTTTAGTTTTGCAACCAGTCATTAAGAACCGATATGTCAAATGACGGATTGGACGCTAAAGCTATTAGGGTGGCAGCAAGCTCATCGAAATCCAGAGGCTCATCTAAATCCACATGTGGCACTGATGGAAGTGCAAGAGAGGTAGATATCACCGGCAAGCCCAACAGGTCCACATGATCTTCCTCTGCCAGGGTGATCAAGAAATTTGCTGCTGTAACTGGTAAGGGAGATGGAGCTGGCAAACCAAAGAGGTTCACCTCATCTTCCTCTGCTGAGGTGATCGAGAAATCTTCTGTGATAACCGGAAAGGGAGGTAATGCTGTGGATTGCTGTGGCGCAGAGGATTCAGGTGGTGGTGAGATGCCAGATTGCACAGTGGGCACAAATGGGGCTTGCTGGGTCACCGAGCTCGGTGCAGGTGTTGGGGCCTGAAAAGTGGCTTGTGCAGGCGGGGAGCAAGGAAAAGTCTTGCACGGTCACCGGCATGGGCGGGATTTGCTGGGGCACTGAGCTTATAGCAGGTCCCCCTGCATGGAAAGTGAAAGGCCCTTGGGGGACCGTGACAATGGGCAGAGCCACAAATGTGCTGGTGGCCGATGATGCAGATGCAGTCATGTAAGGTAGTGCAGAGACCTTCTGAGATTTGGCCTGGTTGGTGAGACACTTCTTACTGCCAGGTACATGGCGTTTTAGAGAATCAGAACGACTAAAACTAGTAAGAATCAACAAGTCAGCACCATAGTCGCATTTAAAAGCAGTGGGGTACTTACGACGCGCCACAGTCTGGGCACGGCAACTGAGAATGGCTTGGTTGATGGTCTCTATTCCTACGCACGCCTCTTGCCTGCATCATTTTGCCGGCACATGCAGTAGCTTGGCATTGGTCCTTTATTCCCTGTGGGGTGGGGACTTGTCTCTGAGAACACAAGTGTTAACGATATGACGAGAACCAAAGAAATAAAATCGACTCACAAAATCAGGCTGAAGGCCAGGGTTATGTTTTTGTTTTTTGCATTCCATCCCATTAACATCTACTGCCCTGCACTTCCCACCCTGCGCTGAGCCGCCAGATGAGCCTACAGATTGCCCCTGCAGGCATAAATCCCTGGTTGAATTGGCCGACATGTTGGTGATAACTGGTGTCCAGCATCAGAGGGGGCATGCCTGAAGGGGGCAGCAGCCTGTTCATGCAGAGGAGGGGCCACGACTGGAGGGCTCACAGCCACCGCAGGCACAGGCATAAGACCAGCTTGCATTGGAGGAGGGTAAGGTTGTGTTGGATTCATAGCCTGAGGGGGCAGGGGCATACCCACAATATGCGTGAGGAGGGATGGGGACGTGGTGTGGTTGGAAAGGCTGCATAGGCTGCTGTGGGAGATAGGCAACTGGATACACAGGTGTCGTCGTTGGCCATCCATCTGGTGCCCAACCAGTGCTGGACCCAAGATTCATTATGTCATATCCTGCAGTGGAAGCCAAACTTGGCTGCTGAGGGGGATAGGCTGCTGAAGGAGAGAGCCTGTTCATCTTGTGCCCAACTAGTGTCCAACACAGGATTCAATGTTTCATATCCTGCATTGGGAGCCAAGCTAGGCTGCTGATGGAGATAGGCAGCTGGAGGAGGAACGTAGACAGATGTCATCGTCAACCATTCATCTTGTGCCAAACCAGCGTCCAACACAGGATTTGATGTTTCATATCCTGCATTGGGAGTTGGCCAAGGTGCAACGTTCGACGGACTGTACATTTTGGAAGGGTAATGACTGACAGGGAACTGGGGCTGAGGCTGGGTCTGGGGCTGTGGCTCACACTGTTGCTGCTGCAATGATTGTATGAATCTGCGTTTGAGTTCTTTTACCTTCCTGATATGCCTCTTCTGTTCGCCGCGGTCAATGCGACGTTCCACATTGCGCTCAGCGGCAGTACCAGCATTAACGTCGCCATAACCGGGAGTTGTATCCGTGGAGATAGACATGAACGTATGGTGAAAGAAGGGAGAAATCTGGGATGAGGAAGCGGATGTGTTTGGACTGATAGATGCGTTTGGGTGGTGGAAGGACATCTGGCCCATCTGGGCGGTGTTTTGGTCCATACTTTCGACCACACGATGCAGGTCGAAGGGATATATGTGAGTGGCTTCAGGTCCTAGCCCGTGGTAAGAACAGAAAGTAAAAGATATAAAGATATAAGAGTATAGTGCACAAGTTAGACACAGTACAAGCCAGGAGGCAGAAGAGAAATGCGATGAGTGAGGGAGAGGAGGAAAACAACACAAGTGCCAGTATTTAACTGCCGGGACACATACAAGCAAATAACGTGTTTGTTCACTGTGCGGCGCGTCATTTCCTTTTTCGCACTGTGGTCCACAACTTGTTGCCCAGGCAAAGTAGTGCCCCGACTGCGTATGGACACAAAGGAAAGCATCCACCAACCTTTCATTGTGCACAGATTTTTCCAACGGACTGATGGTCAAACATGTAGGCCACCCAGATATCCCCCCGCACGAATGCGAGGATGTTCAATTAAGCATGTTGATTGTTGATTGTCGATCTTCAGCTTCCTTCTTGGGAAAAGAGCAGTGCAAGTTATTTTTAAAACACGTTGGATCTGAATTTAGAACGGGAATACATACTTTACCCCTGACTCATCTAATTTTCTTCATGTACTCATCTGTTGTTTTCCTCAGTTGCTGCCGCCAGCCATCAGCATCGAGAAGTGTATACCCGACAATCTGATTGACAACACGAACACATCAGACAGGAGATTGCATGCTTATTGATAATAAAAATAAAAATAAAAATATTATGCCCAACCACTACTGTGGATGGTACACGTCTCTCCAACTCCAGCGCGTCCAACAAGCAGATCACGAGCACGATTAGTAATTAAGTCATGCAGCAAGTGACAGTCCACTGGCAGGCAGTGCATGTCCAACCATGTGTCCCAAATCAAGAACAATAGTCAAACCGCGCAAACACAGAACAACATGGAAGCAGATGAACAACTTACCCAAAACAGAATGGACCAATGAGCATGCCACAGTGACGGTCTGGCACACGCGCTCAGCGTCTGCAAGTGCGGGGTTAACTTCCTGCATGCAGTAGAACATGTCAGATTACAATGATCATGCGAATAACAGTCAAGGTAAGTGGCATACCATCAAGTCATGCACAACGAGCAACCCAGTCTCATGAATCGCCTCCCATTTAGTCTCAATTGTGGAAGGTGATGCCTCCGTGCACCTGCGAGATGTCGGTTAGTGCTGCTCGTTAACTTGGCATTTATTTTGACTTGGAATGAATTTTTGTAGGAATATATTATCTGCCGGCCGTGGGCTTGGGCATCCCACCATCGTTTAAGGTGTCAGTATTTCCTTGACATCCCATTGACACGGCATATGCAATATGAACCAACATGTATCCCATCTCTAGCTATGACACATTTTTCAAGCGCCCATAGCATCGGGAGATGTGGAGAATGACATGCTCTCACACCAAAACACTTCCCCAGCAAGAAGTTATTTTTCGGTGCGCCGTAGGTCACCAAAAGGGTATGAAACAGATGACTGACTCCGTCCCACTCAAGAATACGTGCCCAAGGCACTACTGGCGAAAATCACAATCAGAATACTTACCGGTGTTCCTGTGCCAGACACAACGCTCTGATCGAGCGGGTCAACATCAAAGGTCAGGTGAATAGAGCAATCCCATTATATTAACATAGTCCAGCACCATTTCAACCATCTTGCCAATGTCATAGCTACGTCAAGTACAATCAGCATCTGCATCATTTGCTCCCCACGAAACTCAAACTCACTGATGCTGATCAACCTCGTGCATAATAAACGCTTTAATGCAGCGTTCCTCCAACATCTTCATCCCGCCCTTGTCCTCTTTCCTTAAACCGATGTAAATGAGACGCTCGCCAGGGAGGTGCGAGACCCAGTCGGACTTGACTGAGGACAGAGTCTGGGGATGGAGCAGGGGGTTTAAGTTTGAGTAGGAAGGAGAGGGGCATGCTGTGAACCGCTGTCGGAACTGTGAACTATATTATACAGGGTATTTTATGTGGGTGTGGGTGTATATCTAGACGGTACACACTTGGTCGTGTACTCTGTGGACCGAATATTAGCTCGGTGGAAGTAACCAAAAAACTCACCACATCGTGCCTGATATGCCATAGTGCTCATAGCGCAGGAATGGTTTCCGCCAAGGGTGATGGGGAGATGCCCCCTCTCGGCATGAGAATGCACGACTGATACGACACTCTCGCAGACCTGGGCAACGATATGGTATTTTTTTTCAGCTTCACGATGGATGCGTTTAATGGCACTGCGTATCACCAGCACTGTTGAAGTCGTCGAAGGAAGAATGAACAAAGTGGCTGCTGACTAAGCTACGCGGTGCTACTTCCCATTGCCAAGTCCATAGGCTGGAGCCTGGCAGACAGCGGTGAAATTCTGGCCAAATTCTGGCTTCATTGAATATCGTCACTCATACTGTCGCAGCGAACGTCAACAAGCCAAGCCCGACCATCTGGTATCGTCCTATGTCGTGACCACCAAGCGTTGCCCGACTCGGCCACCATGCGCCCTCCCACTCCCCAGGCCACTGCAAATATTTGGTGTTCAGGTGGAGACGGTGTCCACTGTCGACCTGTGTTGATATCTGCGCAGGTACCTACTATGGAAGAAGGCCAAGGCACTCCCTTTTCATTTTTAGCACGTGGCAAATCCCCCTAAATCTTCAACTCGGATGATGAAGATCGTATCTGCATCCCACTACTATTACCTACAGACAAGGCATCCATATACGAGCTCGACATGTACTGCAACATTATGTTAGATCTTATGACACATTACGGCGATTCTAGCCGTGGAACGAATGAACGACGCAAATCGCGTTCCGTGGCGCAAACTATTCTCAATTTTCAGGCTTCGTGCCATTTTCACCGGCAGACGAGTCAGGAAAAGATGAGTATGACGAACCATTTGAGGCTTATGTTGACGCCATGGTCCACGTTCCACGCAAATCATATGGATCACTCAACAAGGCTGTCATGCACACTGCAGAAAACACTCTGTGGTATCCGCAAGCTCACGTCGCGCGATACGCTCGTGGAACTGAAACCTGGGATAGTAATATCCACTAGGCTCCGGGTCCGGAGCCCTATCGTTGACCTGTTGATAACAGCATGTTCAAGGATGATCTTTGGCGTTGTCGAAAAGATGACGGTCAGCATTTACCTCGGCTTCTGCGAGAAGTGAGTGTTCTAAGGCCTGATCATCGGGGTTTTCTGGAGCATGGAACGTGAGGCTCCCACTCGGCCCAGGCGCAAAACTGATTCCCTGTCCACATACGCCGTGGGGCAGAAAGCGCATGAGGGCTGTCGCGAATCTCGTAGATCGCAGAGCAGAATTTTCGCGGGCGTGGATACTCAGGTAGCTGATGAGAGTGTCTAGCGTTGTGTTCCCTGCGGATGTTGCGTATACAATAACATGGGTGTAACAGTCATTATATGTGCCTGGTTTCGATCCCGGGGCAGATATTAGCGCAGCTCCGAGTCAGAGAAGGTGAATTGAGCATCTTATGTGTTGTTTGTGGTCTTTGTGGTCTTCACGAAGCTCTGATGCCAATAGCCTTGAAATCTTGCTTTGAAATCTTTTGAAATATCATTCTTATATACGGACAACTTCCCCGGTACGCAAACACTACTTAAACATCCACCACTGAAACAGAGAATGTTGCATCACTCTGTTCCTTCTTCTCTGACATGGAATTCTCGTCTTTGTGTTCGCCTTCGATAGCGGGTGAAAGATTGGATATCGGCCCCTTGAACCAATGAACACCTCCATACACCGGGCAATAATACCAGAACACTGCAAGGAACATGTACCCTCCCAGGACCACCGCTGTGTAGTTCATCTCTTGTGCAGTTGTTTGTGGTGTGGCGGGAAAGAACAAAACGATGATCATGAAGACCATCCCCAACACGGCGATCACGGCGATTGGAAAGCTCTGAACAGGCATATTAGCTCAGGAATACACTCCTCAACACCGACTCACCAGTTTCCCAAGATGAAATGGGCCGGGTTTAAAATTGTTCTTAAACGCGAAGCGGGTTGCGATTGGCGTTATGAAAGAGACATACGATGCCGTGACAGCAATTGTGAACAACGCATCGATTACCTGGGTGCTCACGAACGCCAGAAGTCCAAGTACCAGAATACAGGCGGCGTCGAACCAGACTGTATTTACTGGTGTTTTTGTGTAGCCATTGATCCGGTACAAATATCGTGAAAATGGGAGGGCTCCATCACGAGCAAATGCAAACGTCTGGCGAGAGCCAACTAGGAGGGCGGTCGATGACACCATGTACCTACTCTCTTATTAGCCTATAAATACGCCACTCGTCGATAAAACGTACTGGGCTGAGATGATGAGACACCAAAGAGCCAAGGCCATTCTTTGCCCGAGCGAATTGTATAAGATCTGCGCCATTGGCTGACCTATAGGGCTGCTTAAGATGCCACTGAGATCAGTTCCCATGCAAAAGGCAAGGGTAACGTTGATTCCTGGATGAGAGGATGTCATCAAGATCAGAGTGAGATGACATTCCACATACCCCAACCAAGGACAGCTGACACGGCAATGGAACTAGTCTAACTGGGGTAAACACAACAACAGGTCATTTTCTAGCGTCACTTACGATCGCCCATGGTATCGCAGTGGCGGCATTCGAGGCCTCCTCGCTCATGTGGACGCTAGCATCATAACCCCCTGGTGGGGTAAAGATGGTCATGAACTAACAATCAAGAAGATTGACTGACCTATTGCACTGAGAGGAGCCAGTAAGCTCGTGATAAACGCGAATCCAGATGGCCAGCCGTCCACTACAACTGACCGTGAGCTGCAACTGTATTCGGAAGACGATACATACAGTTTGTGAAATCCCCTAGCGCAAAACTTGCAGTGTTTCGATATTCGTGCGGCGTTGCGATCGGAAGCGCGATAATGACTATGAAGCACAGGCTGTCGGAGGATTTGAAGCGTTCACCATGGACCAATACACAACGCCTACCACACATTCACCACCCCGTATAGTCTCTGCAGTCTCGCCAAGACTTTGGTACCGAAGCTCACAATAATAGCATGCGACAACACCAAAGCCGCATATACGCCGCTGCGACAACCATTTTGAATATTGTCGTGTTTGAAAGAGGAAGGGCCAAGCCCTGGCTTACTAGAGCTGCTCGTCGGTAGTCGAATATGCCTGGTCAGAGGCGATACTGACCGCTGCTGTGATTTGAACCGCACAAGCCCAGTTTGCGGAAGCTAGTCCCACACAATCAGAGGGAGACTGTTGCAAGGATGAACTTCGTCTTACCGACTCCCGCGATATTCTCTATGGTATTCGAATCTGGAGATGTCAGGACGGGCAGCGTATGATATCGAAATGTAAGACTGACACCCAACTATCCACGACAGAAAATTTCGGCACTGCGGAGAAGCAAGCGAGTAAGTCCAATAGTATAACTAGCCCCTGTTGAGCCAAGCATGAACGAATGATGGGGTCAAGGACATACGCCACCAGAAGTAGGTGCTGCTGATGCGAGCTCTCCCATCGCCAACCCGATGCACAATATCAAGGGGGTGGCAATTACCCACTGCGCAGGGAAAGGTGAAAACTGTGATCCTCACATATGATGAAAGCTTACCCCCCAAACCATAGCGACAGGCCCTCCATTTGGCATAGCGTAAAAAAGCACAGATCTGAATTGGTGTCTATCAGTAAAGGAGCGATGTCGAGATGCTCGCAGCTTACGCTATACCAGGTAGTAGTCCTGTAAAGCTGAATGCAAGTCCAGCCACCTGTACAACTGTTGGTTTGTGTGTGTCCACGAAGGAATATAACACCAAGCTCACCTCTAGCGGAGTAAATTCCCTGAGAAACTCCTGCTTGTATCCTAGCTTGGCTAGAATCGCTTCGTCCGCGCCTGGTTGCAAGTGCAACTCCGAAATCGCAGGAGTTCCCGTAGCCATATCGTACTGTTGCAAGTAAACGACTTGGAGTGAGCCTGAGTCACGCCACGCAACACATGCTGTATAAAAGCCACGTAGGGTCTGGAATCGCCCGTAGCAGCATCCAGTCATGAACGAGCACTCTGGGTAATCGGAGAATGTATATAGAAGCTTGATGCCAGCTGGTGTGATCCGGATGGACATTCCCCCAAATGATTTATCGCAGCTTACGGTCCGGATCTCCAACGGCTGATTTTGGGGCCAACCTGCGAGTAGAGGGTCGGGAGCTTACAGGGGCATGACATAAGCTGTGATTATGGTGGTGTGCCTCGCGAGCGAGAAAGATCTGATAGGTTTGTATTGATACTCATAGCTCGTAAATGCACCATTCATATGTGTAGCGATTGCGACGGGACTTCGGGCGGCATAAAGTTCTTACGCAGTGGAGAAAATGAGAAGATCAGGGTCCGCGGCATGCAAGAACATTCGGGCGGATTCACCAGATCAGCTGACCACGGTCCGATTGAGAAGACGGGAGTCACCGTGTGGGCAATTGTATATCTGGTTTCGGTCCTGGAGCAGATGTTGGGGAAGCTCTGTCAGAGGAGGTGAAAGTCACTGTCGCTTTCGGTACTGCTGCGCCACGTCAGTGACAAGGGTTAGTACATCGTTCTATAGGCAGACAACTCCCTATTCGCCGTCCACAATACATAGCTACTACATGGCTCACTAGCATCGGCAGTATGTAGACTCTTATGTTTTCTTGATGGTCTTCACCAGGCTCTGACGCGCAATATTCTTGAAATATCGAAGTATTGTTTTGCTTTGAAATCAGCTGAAATACCATTTCCGTGTACCGACCACTTACCGACCATTTTACGACAGCACGCGAACACCACTTATACATCAGCCACTGAAACATAGAATTCTGCCTCACGTTGTTCCTTCTTCTCCTTCATGGAATCCTCGCCTCCGTCTCCGTTTTCGCCTGCGATGCCCGATGTAACGTTAGATATGGGTCCCTCGAACCAATGCACGCCTCCGTACACCGGGAAATAATACCAGGAAACAGCAAGGAACATGTACCCTCCAAGGACAACGACCGTATAATTCATCTCTTGCGCGGTTGTTTTTGGGGTGGAGGGAAAGAAGAAAACGATGATCATGAAAACCATCCCCGACACAGCGATCGCAGCAATCGGAAAGCTCTGCAGGGGCATATGAGCTTAGGAATACATCCCTGGAGATTGACTCACCAGTTTCCCAAGATGAAATGGGCCGGGTTTAAAATTGTTCTTAAACGCAAAGCGGGTTGCGATTGGCGTTATGAAAGAGACATACGACGCAGAGATAGCAATCGTGAATACCGCATTGATGGCCTGGGTGCTCACGAAAGCCAGAAGTCCAATTGCCAGAGTACAGGCGGCATCGAACCAAACCGTATTGACTGGTGTTTTTGTGTAGCCGTTGATCCGGTATAGATATCGTGAAAATGGGATGGCTCCATCACGAGCAAATGCAAACGTCTGGCGAGAGCCGACCAGGAGGCCGTTCGATGCCCCCATATACCTGCTGCGATTAGGCTGTGAATAGGTCATGCTCTGCTAATACGTACATCGCTGAGATGATGAGACACCATATACCCAAGGCCATTCTTTGTCCGAGCGAATTGTATAAGATTTGTGCCATCGGCTGGCCTATAGGGCTACTTAAGATACCGACGAGATCGGTGCCCATACAAAAGGCAATTGTAATGTTGATTCCTGGATGAGAATATGTCATCAAGATCAGAGTGACGCGTCGTTCTACACACCGAAACCAAGTACGGCTGCCATGGCAATGGAACCGGTCTAATTGGGGTAAACACAACAACAGGTCATTTTCTAGCGTCACTTACGATCGCCCATGGTATCGCAACGGCGGCGTTCGAGGCCTCCTCGCTCATGTGGACGCTAGCGTCATAACCCCCTGATGGATTAAGGATTGTCATGAGCTGACCACTCAGGAGAAGACAGTCTAACCTGTTGTATAAAGAGGAGCCATTAAGCTCAAGGTAAATGCGAATCCAGATGGCCAGCCGTCCACTACGAGTGACCAATTAGCTGCGGTTGTAATCGGAAGACGATACTTACAATTCGTGAAATTCCCTAGCGCAAAAATTGCAGTGTTTCGATATTCGTGCGGCGTTGCAATCGGAAGCGCGATAATGACTAACAAGCACAGGCTATCGGAGGATTTGAAGCAAAGATCATGGACAAATGCACATCACCTACCACAAATTTACCAACATGTACGGTTTCTGCAGTCTTGCCAAGACTTTGGTACCCAGGCTCACGAGGACAGCTTGTGACAGTACAAGAGCTGCGTATATACCGCTGATGATAACCCTTATGAAGAGCTTCATGTTTGGAAGAGAACGGACTTACTAGAGCTGTTCATTTGTAGTCACATATGACTCGTTAGAGGCGATCCCGATCGCTGCTGTGATTTGAATCGCGCAAGCCCAGTTTATGGAAGCTAGTCCCACACGATCAGAGGCAGATTATTGAAGGAACAAACATCGCCTTACCGACTCCCGTGATATTCTCTATGGTGTTTGCATCTGAAGATGTCGGGACGCTGCGTATGATATGGAAATGCAGGACGTACAGCCAACTATCCAAGACAGAAAATTGCGGCACCGCGGGGAAGCAAGGGAGTAAGTCCAATAGTATAGCTAGACGTTGCTGAGTCAAGTGTAAAACGGATACGGGGTCAAGGACATACGCCACCAGAAGTAGGCGCCGCTGACGCGAGTTCTGACAGCGCCAAACAGATGCACATGATGAAAGGGCAAGCAATTGCCCACTGCGCAGAGCAAAGATGAGGTATTTACAAAACAGTAATCGTCACATATGAAAGCTTACTCCCCAAACCATAGCGACAGGCCCACCATTTGGTATGGAATAAAAGAGCGTGGAGCTGAATGGATTTTTGTCAGTAAAGGAGCGATGTCCACATGCTTGCATCATAGTGGCGACTTACGCTACACCAGGTAGTAGTCCTGTATAGCTGAATGCAAGTGCAAACACCTGTACAATTGGAAGACTGTATCGTGTACACGAAAGTTTGATATCAAGCCTACCTCTAGCGGAGTAAATTCCCTGCACAACTCCTGCTTGTATCCTAGCTTGGCTAGAGTCGCCTCATCCTCGCTGTGTTGCAGGTGCAACTTCGAAGTCGCTGGAGCTCTGGTAGCCATATCGCACTGTTGGAAGTAGACGAATGAGCCGTCTGAGCCGTCAAGCAGCGCAACGCGATTAGAAGCCACATGGTGCCGGGATTCACCCAGAATGCCTAGAGACTAGTCTGCGATCCGGACGGAAATTGACCAAAATAACACGACGATTTATCCCAGCTTTCGGTCCGGACGCCCAACTTCTGGCTTGGGGGCAACCCGGTCAATCATCCGGACTCATCGGCGAGGAAGCTGGGGAGCACCCGACAGTGTGATACAGCAGAATAGCACGTCTAGCTTTGAAATTTTTCGTGTGCTCCTCGCGCAGCCTCTCGGAGTCGTTGGAGTCGTGTCCGTGAGTTGCCTGCGCCCAAATAGCAGTGAAATACGACCTCGGCGACTCTGAGTCGTGAATGTGTTTTATACTATGTGCCACAGACGTTGAAGAGACGCGTCAAAATCACGTGCGTGCCAATGAACGGGGGTTTCCGGTTTCTCAACCACACACCAGAAGTTGATGGTACAGTACACTATTTCATAATGTATACGCTAGTAATGTATAAATCTCATCTTGTATCGAGTTTTGGCAGCTCCCATCGTAGTATGCGGGTAGACGCCCAAAAATTGTATAATGTATAATGTATAGCCTTCGGAGGTCCGATATCCACTAAGATATGGTTTGTACCGAGTAGGGCTACTGCTGAGTTGCCGGAAGTTGATGCATAACAATACTATTGGTTACCACTCGCTCGTGCAGCACCACGGGACTCGAGAGAATTGCGTAAGTGTTCAGCTTCCCCTGAGCACACAAGCCGGGGGAAGAGATCTAGGCAGGATTTTCGGACGAGCACAAGCGGAGGTGTCCTCTCTGCTTGTGCCGTGTGTCTCGGACGAAACCCGCACAGGATCATCAAATGCAAAGTGTCCAAGACGTGGGATGACGCGTTCAATACAATCTGCTTGCACATCAGGAGAGTACTCACCATGCGAGACGGGAAACCTGTATGCAGCGATTGGCAGCGCGTCAACAGTTGTGTCGAAGTCACTCACGACCGACAACACTTCTGTTCGGGGTGTGGCAGCTCGACTCACAGAGCTCAAACATGCCCTCGAGCTCAGAGAGCTTAAGGCTCTTACCCCGTACAATCTGGATGCATGGGAGTCGGCGCTCACTGCATCCGGCCTCATCAACAAATACCCCCTCATACCTGAAGGACTTTGCCGAGGCTTCATCCTTGATATCCCTAGAATTAGTATCACCCAGACGCCACCTAACAAAGAATCCATTATTACATATAATCAAGAATTTCAGTCCATTATACAGTCTGAACTTAATAAAGGGAGATATATTGGACCGCTTAAAGCCAAGGAGGTTGAAAGCCTCATCGGACCCTTTCAAACCTCGCCATTCTCTATTATTCCCAAACCAGGGCGACCTGGACATTATTGCGTCATTCAGAATTACTCATTCCCTCATCTCACTTCACCGAAGTTCCCTAATGCGTCAATCAACTCTCATATTAATCCGGACAATTTTCCCAGTACCTGGGGAACCTTTCACGTTGTCACTCTTACCATCAGCCGATTACTGCCAGGATCACAGACCACTATTAGGGATGTGGCAGAAGCATACCGCACAATCCCCATCCACCCATCCCAATGGCTGGGATTGGTTGTATGTGTATCAGACGACGAGTTCTGCATTGACACATGCATGTATTTTGGATTATGGCCCTCGGCAGGAGCGTACGGGAACATGGCGGATGCAGGACTCAATTTGTTTCATTCTTGAGGCATTGGACCTGCTTCGAGATGGGTCGACAACCATCTTTTTATCCGAATACTTAAGGAGTTCATTGAATCATACAATGAGCGAAGGCGACAATGGCATGCAGACATCCTCAAGAGAGGAACGCACCAGGAAGGGGGGAGGACATGGTTCGGAGGCTACGTCTTCGATGATGGGACCTTGGAGGTGTTTGATGAGGACTGTTGATTCCCAGTGGTTGACTTATCAAGCGCATCACCAAGATCACCCGAAGACACTAAATTTTCATTTAACCTATCAGACATCAACGAAGCTTCTAACAAGTTCGATATCCCATGGGAAGTTCTCAAAGACAAACGGTTCGCATATGTTAATCCATACATCGGTATTATGTGGGATCTGGCTCGAAACAGAGTATTTCTGGATGAAGGGAAGAAACAAAAGTATCTGCGGGCCATTGAGACATGGGAAGATCGACTCACGCACGTGCTTAATGACGTTCAACAGCTGTATGGAAAGTTATTACACACTACGCTCGTCATCCCAAGGGGACAGGCATACCTTACGTCTTTGGAAGCTATGCTGCGTCTTGCCTTTGAAAAACTGTTTCTCCCATGGCGCCCCATCAAAAACCTTGCTGCGGATCTTAACTGGTGGAAGAAAATACTTCAGAGTCCTTTCGTCGGATGCTCTATCCCAAAACCTCTCACCCTGCATGACCCAAAGGCATTATCAGACACTAGTTCCAGATTCGGAATCGCTATCACTATCGGCAACAAATGGAGGACATGGCGTCTCCAGAAGGGATGGCAAACCCTTCAAGGAACCAAGGATATCGGCTGGGCGGAGGCAGTGGGATTTGAGTTCCTCGTTCAATATCTTATTGATATGGGAGGATCGGAACGGAACTTCAGGGTGTACGGAGACAACCAAGGAATCATTGAGGGTTGGAGAAATGGAAGCAGCAGAAACAGCGCAGTCAACTCAATATTTCAACAGATCTTCTCTAATATCCACAATTCTGCAGTGCCTTACTCTTTCCACCCCACGTACATCACAAGCAAAGTGAATCCAGCTGATGACCCGTTAAGAGGGATCTATAGTAGTACAGAGCTCTTGCGGCCAACCCTCCCAATCCCCATCGAATTACGACACTTCATCATTGACTCGTTCATCGTCTCAACAAACCCAGCAGAATATAGCACAGACAGGGCAGTTTCCGTCATCGATGAGAGCGCTTCTTTCAACAATTCCAATAGTGTCAATAGAAGTGGCACCGAGGTTAACGCAGACTCACTCTATCACATCAGACAACAGCAGCAACACTATCACCAATAGAAACCATTTCAACGCGAATCTACCCTCAGAGCTAGTAGCAAAACCACAACCTTATAGAACAGGTTTAATGCCTGTCCCATCGCAACTACGACTGCACTGCCTAGCGCGGGAAAGGTTGAGACTTTGGTTTCCCTCAGAGACCAGGATAGCAAGAGATCGAGATGGAAGGTTTCCAGCAATTACTGATGAAGATCTGGAGAGGGTATTATTGGTCATGAATTTATCATGGGCACCCAGTACGAGGGAATGCTATGGGGCAGGCCTCTTGGTATTTCATGTCTTCTGTGATGAACGAACCATCCCGGAAGAACAATGCTGTCCAGTGGATACATGGACCGTGTTGAATTTCGTTTCAAGCTGTGCTGGATCTTATTCTGGAAAAACCTTAGCAAACTATGTCTATGCAGTAAAAGCATGGCATACCCTACATGGACAGCCATGGAATGTTCATCAAGAGGAATTGAAAGCGGTCTTGGATGGAGCCGCAGAACTCACCCCAGATTCATCGAAGCGCACCAAGCGCAAACCGTTCACTCTGAAGTTCATTCTCGAAATTCATTCACGACTCAATTTATCAGCCCTGCTAGATGCTGTGGTATACGCCTGCCTCATGAGTTCCTTCTATGCGCTTTGCCGCCTAGGAGAACTCACCGTTAAAGCTATGAAAGCTTTTGATCCAAAGAAACATGTCAAATGTTCGGATGTTGCAATAGATGTAGAGGATAGACACGGACTTTGGGTAACCAAGATCTTCCTACCATATACCAAAACTTCTGCGATCGGCGAAGGAGTATACTGGGTGCATAAAGAGAACCACATGGACCCAAAAACTGCACTACTTAACCACTTCACAATCAACGATCCACCTCCTAACAGTCATTTATTTGCCTGGAAACACTCCAAAGGCCTGAGACCCTTGACCAGGATGGAATTCTGGAAACAGATTAGTGGCATAGTAAAGAGAGCAGGATTAGGTGACCTGAAAGGACACAGTCTACGCATAGGAGGAACCCTCAAATATCTGCTGTGCGGAATTCCATTCGATGTAGTAAAATTGATGGGACGATGGTCAAGTAAAGCCTTTATGCTTTATCTGCATGAACACGCGCTGATATTAGCGCCATACTTACAAGAGTCACCGGCACTACACCCCTTCATCCGTTACACAATGCCTGCTGCACGTTAGAAAGGTAAGCCTATTCGCTACACCCTTCTCCTTCAAATATGGGAGTCCATGCTGTGCCTGACACATCACAGGGCTCCTGCTCTATCGTTTGGGAATCACGGCTCATCATGGACTTTCTCCGCAGGATCGAAACAATGTTTCAGGTCGCAAACCCTTCGGGTTTGAGCCCAAATAGCCTCACATTACCTTTGATACTATTTGTACCGAATCAGATGTCATTCCCGACCAATAGAATCTGATTTCTTGCTGGCTAACATGAAAAGTGTACAGTTACACATAGATAGATATGACAGGAGCAGTTGTTGAGAGTACAGCGGGGCCAACATGATGTAGGTGGTTCGGATAAGGAATGAGGAGAGATCCTTGCATTTGTGGAAAAAATGGTGGCTGCGGGTAGAACATATTGTTGGCTGCCGTGGGGAGAGGAGTACTTGCTGAAGGTGTTGAGTTTTCATTTGAAGTTGGGTTGGCAAAGTACTTTTTCTTGGGATTCATTGAGGAATGAGCGTTGAGTACAGTGTTTGCCTGCTGCATGATCTTGCATAGTCTGTGGGGGTACCTGAAGGAAAATTGAGTTGTGATAAAATTATTGAGGGAGTGCTTACATTGTGAGCTATGGCAGCACTGCGAAAACTGCCATGAACACCAGTCAAGGTATCCTGGATGGCAGCTTGAATGCAAGCCTCTTTGGTGGGATCTTGGGGACCTTTCTGCTTCCCACTGACTCGAGTGCGCGCCATCTGTGCAGCAAGTAGACACGTTGCCACCAACATGTCTGAGTTGAAACTCCGCTATGGCATCGGACAGCAGGTGACAATGGAAGTGACAAAAGCCTTTGTCACAAGCAAACATTTATCTCTCTTGTTTCTTGTCCGAATGCATCTGTCTAAGCTAGTAAGATGTTCTTGTGTATTTGTTAGGTACTGTGCCAGCTCAAGAAGTGGAGGGGTTGGGGCTTGGCTTCCGCTCTTGTGCTGCACCCTTAGCCGAGTACGTGCCCCAAATTTGGAGCAGGTCCAACGTTGTCCGATGGTAGGACGAGTGGTCCACTTTGGTCCGCTTTGAGGGTCGGGAGGTAAGTGCTACTAGCGGTGGGCCAACTAGGAGTGGAGCAGAGAAGGTGGAGGATAATGTGGAAGGTTGAAAGGAGCAGGGGGAATACTTGATAGGGGCGGAGAAGTAAGGAGAAGACTTAGAGCACGGCTCTAAGTCGGAGCGGAGGGTTGGAGGTGATGACAAGATGAAACTTGTGTCCGGAGGAGGCAAGGTCCTACTGAGAATTCTCACAGGTGGAAACTGCAAGAAGACAAGTAATATTAAGACTGGGGAAAATATCTAAGTACATGATATGTTATATACTTCTAAGCAGGATAACTATGTTGTAAAGCTATGTACCAAGGATATAATTTGTAAGTACTTACACAGGCGAAGACATAAGTCGGAGCGGATATTAATATGTACACATCGGATCAGTGATAGAGCGGTAAGAGGAATTACCAGTGATCCAGAAGTAAGGGTCTATGTACCGAAGGGGAAAGTATGTATCTAAAAGAGGAAAGAGGTTCCAGTTGAATAGAGACGTTATGGAAGGGGACTGGTTGGGCGGTCGAGCAGAAGTGTAGGGGCGGATGCGGATGCGGATGATGATTGGATGGAGTGGAGGATGGATGGAGTGGAGGTGGTCAGAAAGTGGAGCAGATATTATTATCAGAGCGGTTGGATCAGGTATATGACAGTATTATTATTTCAAATGGACATAGTAGTTTGCAGATTTGTAGTAGGAAAAGTGTAGTTTTGGAGGATGCACAAAATGTGGTACTGCATGAGTGAGTGGTA